TACAAGTGACAGAACGGAGCGACAAATCCCACTGTAGACGCATGCTTTGGTGACTCATCTGGGGTAAGTTCTGCTCTGGGGATAATAGGTTTTTCACATTTCTGCGTGCGTCGTCGGGATATTTTTAGGATTCTTGAACTCTCGTAAGCCAAATGCATATCTTGTCCAGAAAATCCTTCACTCTCGCCATTTCTATTAGTTTAGTTTGCGTCCCTCATTTTTTTTTTTTTGAAAGCAGAATTCAGTTCAACACGTAAAACTGAAGTATTCAAAATCTCTTACATCGCAACTCAATTGTTGGCCGTCGAAGTCTGCTTGTCACGTATCTTCTGTTGCATCAAAGATGGACTATAGGAACTGGAACTGTGCTGTACCAAAGTAGAAGGAAAAGGGTGACGAGGAGAATGACAAACTGGACCATAATATTTCGTGACATGTGCGGTGTTTAGCGAATGTTTTTCATGTTTGTGGAAGTTGAGGTTAAGCACGAATTTTACGCAGTAAAACTGATTTACAAGTGACTGCTCCATTGAGTAAGCGAGCCATTTTAACTTGTTACCATTCAAATACCTGACTTATGTAAGACATTACTCGAAATTCAGGAAAAAGAGGCATCTTCATGCAGATGAAAGAGCACGACTTGCTTATGAAAGAATTCAAGCAGAACGCAAAGAGCAAGCTGAGAAGCGTAGAGTCGAACGAGAAAGCAAACGAAAGGCGTTGGAGAGTTATCTGTCAACGAAGCGCAAAATGAATAGGGCACTTCTGAGGAGAAATAAAAAAGGACAGCCAAATCTGAACGCTCAAATCGAAGTTCTGTTGGAAAAGATTGAAAAGCGTACGCTGAAGTCATGACTTTGGTCTCAAGGGAAACTTTACGGATCCTCATATAACTTTTTGTGTGTTTTTTGTATCTGTGCAGTGCAGAAATGCATATTGTCGAGAGTTTGTCTGTGTGTGCATCTCGAGACCTACAGAAGTTATAAGGTTAAGAGAACTCAGTCTACATGCATGTACATGGTCCTGTCTCCAAAATGGACGCTCTTGCCTGCGTGGTTCTCACTTACGGATCTGCGAAAATTTTTGGCGGGTAAGTTGAACCGGAGAAATTAAGAAGCTGAAAATACATGGATGCTGCAAGCGGCATACCACAAATACCTGGGGCTGAATTTGAAGCTTTTGGATTGAATGTGGGCGAAAGTGTTGTCCCCCATCCACGTACAATCTAATGGCTTCAAATTCAGCCCCAGTTATGTGTGATTCTCATGCGAACCTGTGAAAATTTTTACCGGCAAAGTTGTTAACTCGGAAACCAAAAAAGTGAGAAAGCTGAAACTTTAAGGAGGTGTTTTGTGACAGTCGTGATGGCCAGTCTCAATTCTTTTCGCTAGAAGCATTTGCCGGGAAAACAGTGCCGTTAGCAACAAAAACTTGCGGCGAACTGTGCAAAAAGCGCTCCTTCGCACTGGCAGTCGGTCCGCTGGCCAATTATTTCTCTAGCTGTGCTGACAAGTAAGGCAAGTCACACATTGTAAGTATTAAAATTTTTTTGATACTGTTTACCACATTTGTTTAACACAGAGAAATTTGTTATTTTTTGTTTATCAGGGAGAAATTTTTCGTTTTTTTTTTTTTGGGAAAAATTGGTAGAGGGTTTGCTAGAACTTCTATTGTTCATTTGGTAGTAAGAGGACAAAACCCAGGCTGGAACTTACCAGGCGAGCTGGTGCGATCATGCGTTTTTGCATTAAACTTCGAAGTACCGTCTCTTTGAGGTGGAATGGGTAAGAAAGAAGGGTGTTCCACTTTATGCCACCATTTTTAGCTGAGGGCGGGGTTTAATCATTTGTGCAAATCGACGAATTATCGGCCCGTCGCTACCCCGCACAATAATCAGGACAACTTCAACTCCCTAGCTTTCCCAGTTCTGGAGATGAGGTGAACTGATACACCCCTCTTTTCCAGCTACCACTGCATTTCGCCGTTCCCCTCCCCTCTTCCCCCTCTCCCTCCCGCTTACGCCAGGATACCAGCGACGTGAGCTGGACCCCATCCGCGCCCCTCCCTCCGCCAATTAAGTGCCATTAGCACGTGAAGTGAATTGAAATTTGTCTGCTATCGTAAGTGATCGTAGCCGTACGCCACGTTTGCGCCACGTTTGCAACGTTGTAACCATCCGTGCGGGTGGTTTCAACAGTTTTATTTGTTAGGGTTTTTTTTTTACTTTTTTTGAGG